TTTTTTGTTTCTGATGAAAAAATGTATTCAGGCAGCAGCATTGTTCAAGGTACTACAGGAGAGTCCACCAATACCCCAAACACTATCGGCCGATGGAAAAGATTTCCTGCAGTGCTGTTTCCGTCGGAATCCTGCTGAAAGGCCCACCGCAGCAAAGCTTCTCGAGCACCCATTTGTCAATGGCTCCTCTCACCACCAATCAAATGCTTGCATCCAGTCACTCAAAGACATGAGATTAACGGTAAAATATTAAAAAAAGTTGTGAAAGTTACAGATCATTTTTCCTAACAAACATTACTCTCTTAAAGACAAAGTTCATTTTTTTGTTTTTTTTTTTGGGAATTCAAATGTTATACAGTAATCATCCATAAAGTACTAGTTTGTCTTGCTTGTTGTTATCTAATGTGATGACAACAACTAAGATTGATTTTTATACATGATTGAACAGGATAAGGTAAATAGAGAGTTGGCTCGTGATAGTAAATTTGATCGGGTGCCGGCATCATTAGGCGTACAGATCAAGAAAGGGAAAGTGGCTAACATATAAAGAGCTCAAAGATTTTCTTGGCGCGTACAGATCAAGAAAGGGAAAGTGGCTAACATATAAAGAGCTGAAAGATTTTCTTGGCCTTGTTTTTCTTTTGGTTTTGGCCACTTCAGCTTCACATTGTGATCCTCCATTCCTCCTCAACCGAGACGAGCCCCAATTCTTATGCAACCTCATGAAATTGGGACCGAGCTTATATTCTATTCGGGAGCTTGCTTGCTTGCTTGCAGTCAAGAGAAGTTGGAGAGGGTGTTTTGGCAAAAATACTATGGGGCTGCAATTCAATTAATGGGAAAGCAGAGGGTTTTGCAAATGTACCGACGCTGTAAAATATCCGTTTGGAATGTATGACTGCTGTAAATTATTTGTTTGGAAATCATCAAATTCATGAATTTTCTCGAGTTTCTTTACTTTCTTTCTTGGGCTTTCGTCCCTTTTCCTTTCCGGTTAATCCTCCTTTCGAATGTCCATAGAAGATGCAAACTGGATTTCGGAGAAAATCAAACCCGGACATGGAATTAAACTTTGATAATCTTGAAGGAGTTTGATGTAGGTGCTGAATGCAGATGATAGCATTCATGGGGGCACAAGTAGTGAATAAATAGATATTTCAATCTTTTAAGTTAGGTAAACTGATGGTTTCACAATTTCAAATGTGGTCGAAAGTTGAATGGAGATGCTATTTATCAGTCTAGTAGTGTTGTTAAATTAAACGAGTTTGGTTCGGCTCGAGCTCGATTAAAGCCTCAACGAAGTCGAGGTAGAGCTCATTTAAAACTCGTTTGGCTATAGAGTCGAGCTCGCTCAGCTCGATAAACTTCGTTAAAGCTCGAAAAGAGGTATTTTATATAATTTCATATAGTTTAACTCGTTAAAACTTGAGATCGACTCGTTAATAGTGATAGACGAGTCGAGCCCGAACTTAATTTTTGGCTCATTTGTTTAAAAATCAAACTGCAAAACTTGAGCTCGAGTTCGAACACCTTAAGTTCAAGTTCGTTTGTAAGTGTATATATAGTCTAGCCGGCGCTTGAAAAGCGACAAAACTGCCCAGGGGTATTACTATTTACCGCCTCCTTTTACTAATCACTGCCCCCAATTACGTTTTTGCCCTTCATAATATTTCTCTACTTTATCTCTCTACTCATTCCCTCTCGACTTTTCACGGCTCTTTTGACCGTAAAAAGAAATTCGAAAAAATCCAAAAAAAATACCATGACATCGGCAAGACATTGAAGATTGACTATGTATTTTTTTCACTGACTTCTGACCAACCCGCAAAGGGTTGTGAAGTTGGACCAGGTACGAAGAATGAATCTATATCTGTGTACGGAAGTTGCTGGCCGGCAGCCGCTCAACTATAATTTTTCACTTTATAAATAATTTTTTATTTTTTTTTCGTGTCCGGCCGGACGGACCGGACAAGTAATATAGCGTCCGGCCGGACACCAATGGGTGCGTCCGGTCCGTCCGGCCAGACGCGAAAAAAAAAATAAAAAAAATTTAAAAAATTATTTATAAAGTGAAAAAATATAAAAAAAATACATGATCAATCTTCAATGTCTTGCCGATGTCATGGTATTTTTTTCGGATTTTTTCGACATTTTTTTGACGGTCAAAATAGCCGTGAAAAGTCGAGAGGGAAAGAGTAGAGAGAGAAAGTAGAGAAATAGTGTGAAAGACAAAAACGTAATTGGAGACGGTGATTAGTAAAAAGGGAACAGTAAATAATAATACCCGAAAAGAAAATGAATCAATAGGCAACAAGTAGACAACGAGTCGGCGACATATTGACCACGGATTAGGTGGTCGGTCCGTAATAAATAGAAATAAATAAAGAATAAAAACATTATGAAAAGGAAAGAAAATCTTTTTATAATGATTTTATTTACCTTTAAATTCTACATTTAAGTCGAGAATAATCAAGATTGTGTAGAGAAGACGAGCGA